CCTACGCGGAGGCCCTGTCTCCGACGTCCTTGACCACGAAGAAAACCATCATGTACGTACACCAATTCTCGACCTTACACGCCATGGCAACGACACATCGTTGTCGTGATTTTGTGTGCGTGTTGCTGCATCTCTGCTTGCATCTCTCCAAGAGTTGTTCGCGGCTTCTAATCTCTCTACATGCGTAAGTAAGTATTTATTTTTTCCACTGAATGCGAATAAATATTCTCTTCATTTTAACCTTTATTCCATTAATAACCAGGGAAAAATCTGGAAACGGCTGCTTTCATGGAATCCATTAAAATTTTGTTTGCTGCTACCGTTTATAACTTTATGTATCCTCGCTCGAAAGATTGCCATTGTATGTATGCACCATTGGGTTGGAATGTGATGAAAATTGATTACTTTGTAACAATGAAAATAATACTTTGATCCTCCAAGTTTTCTGAAAACAAAAAGTGGCTTGAAAGGAATTTTAAAAAATAATATGATCAAATTCAAATTTGAACATATATATATATATATATATATATATATATATATATATATCTGTGCATTTGTTATTTTCAATACCCGAACCGGTTGTCCAAAAATTCAAATCATAAATTTACGACTTACAACCAGATCCGGTTTAATGTATAGATGAAGATAGAAACTTGTTAATTATATTCATTATTACGATACATTAACCATTTTAAAAACTACTTCAAAAGATTGATGGGGGCCTTTACGAAATCATCCGAGGTATGACAATATTCTATTATCTTCAAATTCGTACGATTGATACATTATCAATTTCAAGGCTAAGCAGAAACGATATCGTATCATTCGTCAAACATATCCAATACAAAAACGTTTAAGATGTACATATTTCATTTTGCTTCTAGGATAATACGTTCAGTTACGTATGCCATTCTCGTCCTCTCTTTGATATACCTTGGCTTCAATGATGCTGGAAACTTGTTGATATAAATATTTCCGCTATGAAATCCGCTGGTCAATCGTAATTCGCAATAGAGATCAAGAATTGAATGTAGAGGTGAAATTACCATGTGTCAAATGTCACGAACAAAACATGTTTTTTTTTTTTTTACAATAAACTGGACATTGGTTCAAAAATACAATGTATCCTCACCGACGTTTTGTATTGTATCCTCGAAGTAAGATTCAAGTTCAGGAGAACGACTTTTATCCAGAGGAATCGAACAGTTCCAGTTAGACAAAGGATAAAACAAAGAAACGAAAAGGAAAAAATAGAATTCGTTTCAAAAAATAAAGGATTTTTAAATTCTATTATATTTTTATCGTGAAACGAAAAACAAGATAACTAATTAGGATAATTTCTTCTCGAAGAATTTGAATTCGAGAATTGATTGCAGCCCGAGGATCTCTGTAACATCCTATAAAAAAATAAGGCAATTTAGTGTAAAAATGCCGATGATTCGCCTTGAACTTGCGACCGGTTATTTTATCGACCTGTTTTCTAACAGAGAGAGAGAGAGAGAGAGAGGAA